TAAATATAATAATTATACAATATAAAGAAGGAGAAAAAACAAAACAAATACAATTTGCTAGCAAAAATAAAATGCTGAAGCTTATCCTATGCCTTAGCTCCCTTATACTTATCTATAGGGAAAAGAGAAAGAGAGAAAGTCAGAAATGGTTGGGGAAGGGGAAGGAATGCATTTAAAAAAAAAAGAAAAAGAAAAACTAGGGGTCTTGCTACAGTTTGAAAGACAGTGGCCATGTCCACATGAGCATAGATGTTTATTTCTCCACGGAAAAGCCTTGTGCTGCTGCTTGTTGTCCCTGGGGAACACCTGTGCCATGCAGCCTCTGGCGTGCAGCAGGTTACCTGGGCTGGGGCCAGCGACTATGCTGACCTTAGCAGCTTTACCTGGTGTCTGGGGGGTCTCAGGGTGCTGCAGCTGTGATACTTCTGCAGCTGAGAGCCTGGTTGGCAGCCAGAGCATGGCTCTGGCTGGCCAGGCTCTGGTTTTAGGTGGTGTGCACTACCTTCACATGTGCTGCACCACTTTTTTGTCATGGGTTTTTTTGACCCTGGGAGATCCTGAGGTCAACTCTTCCCTCCCCCACGCTACAAGGCAGCAGTGCAGGGAACACCTGCATGTGCGGTGTGTGATGCTGCAGACAGGGCTGCGGCGCCACATACCACGTGTCTGTACTTGTCTGGACGCGGCCAGTGGGGTTGTCCTCAGCCAACAGTGACAAGCATCCAGCCCAATCTGGAACACAGCATATGCCTCCTATTCAAGTTAAGGTACTATACAATCCAGATGCAAAGATGTTCTCCAATATATATAGAACATCTTTTTGGATTTTTTGCCATTTTATGACACCTTTATTTGGATAAACATGAGGCATGTTATAATTTATGGTGCAGTTGACACATGAATTCTGCCAAAAATGTCATGTCTTCCAGGGGCCTTTGTTAATCAGATTTTTCTAAAGCAGTGTGTGAGCATTGAGGCTTCTGCTTCTGTTGACTGGAAGATGTTTCATTTTAGATGCTGTGAATTATTAAAGTGAATTACTCCATTTTGCACATTGTAGAGTTCATATAACTAACATTCATATTTCATATAGACTACCAGACAGTATGTTCTACTTCTAGTTCATAATAAAAGCTGCCAAAACTGTTTCTACAAAATTCATGGAACAAGTATTTATCAGTTAAAGCTGTATACAGTCATTGCCCAGTGAGGATTCTATATATCTTCATTTTCTTTTTTTAAACTTTGTGAAATTCAGAAGTGATATGTTTTCATTTCAAAGGTGCCTTCTTCCTTGCAAAATGTTATTTCTTTTTTTCCCTTTAATTACAAGAAATGCTTTCTTCCAAACTTGGTTAACTCTAACATATGCGGCAAAATACACTTAGAGGGACTTGTTAGAGGTACAAATGAACAATTAATGCAAACATCTTTCTTTATGTATTCTCTTTATAGCCACTCTTCAACAACTGATTTCAGACACAATGGTACGCTGGGCCCAGGAGTCGGTAATAGAGGATCCTGAATTAGTGAGGGCCATGTTTGTTTTGCTGCATCGCCAGTATGATGGTATTGGTGGCCTGGTTCGAACCTTACCAAAGACCTACACCATAAATAGTGTATCAGTAGAAGACACTATCAACCTGCTAGCATCGCTGGGCCAGATCCGTTCTCTGCTCAGTGTCCGAATGGGGAAAGAGGAAGAAAAGCTCATGATTCGCGGATTAGGGTAAATCAATGGAGTACCATATCACTAAATTTATAAATCATGTTCCCATATTGTTTGTCTTATGGTTATCACCTGGGTTAAACACACTGTTTGAATATGAATATAATATTTGTCTGTGGTTTGAGATGCTAAATAGAGAAGTTTGGTTTGGGATTTATGGGGTCTTCTCCAGTTTTAAGACCTATGCTTTGTCACATTGTTGGCAGATGATAGTAGAAAGGTATAAGAGCCTGTAATATACAAATTGTTATATCTGGAACAGTGAAACTTTGAAGGTTACTATGGGACAGTAACAAGACACATTCTATTAATTGAATCATTTCAGGTTGCCTGCACATGCAAATACTCTAGCTATAAGTGAGGATTAACCTAGGAGCCCTAACGCCTAAAAACAGATTTCTTCCACTTGAGCTTACAGGAAACACATTTATCTATGAGATATTAATAGAGTCTCAGCTGCTGGCGTCAGGTACCAGGGGAAACCTGATCTTACTCATTAAACCAATGTATTCCGATAATCTTCAAACTGCTGGTACAAATCATGGTTGTTTGTGAATTTGCTAAAAGAGGAAAATGGATTTTACATTTTGTTTTACTTTGTTGCTTGAATCAGAGGTGGGTTTTTTCCCACCTTTTGCTGAAGTAGCATTGCCTGGTCTGCCACCATGATGCTAATGGTATCATTTTGAGAGGAGAATAAGAGTTTGTCTTGAATCAATCTGAGTAATGCCCCTTGTTTGTCCACCATCAGACCTTGCAACAGATATAACCTACCAAGCACCAGCTTCTATGAGTACCTCTGAGAGGGCGAGGGTGTGAGAAGCGTGGACATAGGCCCCAGCGAGGGTGAGGGCCCAAGCGAAGGCAAGAGCGCAAGAGGCACGGACATGGGCCCAAGCGAGGGCAAGAGCGCGAGAGACGCGGACATAGGCCCTAGCAAGGGCGAGGGCGCAAGAAGCGTGGGACAAGCCCCTGAGAGGGCGAGGGCGCGAGAAGCGTGGGACAAGCCCCTGAGAGGGCGAGGGCGCGAGAAGCTTGGGACAAGCTCCTGAGAGGGCAAGGGCGCGAGAGGTGCGGACATAGGCCCCAGCGAGGGCGAGGGCACGAGAGGCGTGGACATAGGCCCCACAGAAGGACGAGGGCATGAGAAGCGTGGGTAAAGGCCTGGAGTAGGGCGAGCGCGCGGGTGGAGGCCCGAGGCGGGCCGATGCGGGCAAGAGAGCCTGAAGAAGGGCGAACCCATGAGTAGGCCCCAGAGAGGGCAAGGGCTAGCGAACACAGGGGCGCTAGAGCGAGGGGCGTAGGTTGCGTGAGAAGCCCAGTGGCACCCGAGGAAGGGTGTGGGTTGCGTAACAAGCCCAAGGTGCCAGGCAAGGCACGAGGGACTAGACAACGTCCGGAACAGCTGCGAGGCTTGGGGCGTGCTAAAGGGGAGGTAGGAGGCATGCATAGCCCATAAGGCTGGGGGTGCACCAAGTCACCCATAGATACTAGGAGATCAAAGGCAGCCTCCCATATTAAATTATATAAGATCAAAGATGTATATATAAGATCAAAAACTAGGTGACTGTGGCATCGATGCCTCCACAGTCAGATGGACTGCAGATTGGCTGAGGGGTCGCACTCAGAGGGTGGTG